TTGGGCATTGTGTAGCTGTGCATTTCTATGGGTGTTCACATATCCGACCTTCTCAAACATCCGTCTGTTCTTCGGTCCCCTGCGAGTCTTCTTTGTGACTTTACCGAAATAACCAAAGAGTATGGATTCCTGCAGCCACGAAAGCTTCAAATCAAGATATTTTAACGGTTTTTTTCTAACCCAATCAATATCTAGTATTTTTATTGGACATTTTCACGTGTCTAGCACTTACAATAGGGGGCGTGCATGGAGGGTACATACGAGGGGGAGGGGGGCTATGCCAGTGTTTCCATGCTCAAAGGAACAATGGGGTGGCACCCATCTCTGTTGGTGACCCCGAGACTGTGATGACATTTCTCGATTTCAATTACCCGAGCCAGTCGTTCCTTTTAATTATTGCCGACTTCCCAGAAATTAGTACACGTTTCCCCCGCTCTATGCGGTAGTAGTAGATGCATTCCAAAAAAAGGGCGCACAAAGCAAAACCGCACGAGGATATCTGCCTGCCGAGTAGCACACAAGGCACACAGAGTACACACACGGTACACGCAGTGCACACACAGTACTCAATGTAGTACCACATCCCACTGCATAGCTGCGTGCAGAGTGAATTCAAACCGCATAGGGAAACGATTTTTGGGTAGAAATAGATTAGCAGCGTGCAGATATCATACGAGCCGAAGCCGCTAAAATCGAGGGAAACCTTTCCTCATTCTATGGGCGTGACACAAGCTGCCCGCTAGTTTGAAAAACGGCAGCCTCTCACCGCCAGTCCACGATGCAGCCTTCGTTTCGGAGCTCGCTGCATGCATTCCCGACTCCTCGGTCACAGTGTTTCCCCTGTTAGAGGAGGCCTTCTTGAATTTTACTGCCACCTCAAGTAAATTGACGTAATGTGCTATTACGGTTGGGGAAAAGGGTACATTAATGGGCATGTGATGCCGTGTGTTGTGATTATTATTTTAATTCCGCTCTCTGCTTTAATACAGCTCAATTCATTCATTTTACTCCATGCCTGGGCAAGGGCTTATGATGTTAAGGCGAGGGCCATGGAATTAATGTAATTATAAAACGTTGTACCTTTTCCAGTGATTACGGAAATAAGGCGTCTAAAAGTGGTAGTTTGATTACTTCAATAAAGACCTGGGAGCCTACTGTTCTTTGTTCGAACAAAATATTCATTACGTTTCTTGGAGAAAAGTGTGTTCTTTTAAATATTTTTAGGAGCTCGGTGGGCGATGGAAAATGTTTTACCATGACCGGCTCCAATTTGGCGTGCGTTTTCAAACGCTGCATTGATTTTCTAATGCAAACGAGCGACCCTTCTTTGATCCATCTCATTTCGTGCTGTGCACCCTCCCACGTGCACTTCATTCCACGCACGTGTTTTGTTGTGAAACCCTCCACTTTATCAACCGAGGCCTTCTATTGGCATCTGCAGCCACTTTCTACTTAATGGGGAAGTCGCTTCTTCTCCTCCGCTGCCCTCACTGCCTGGAGCTCCCTTCCCCCTGGATATCTGCCCCAATGACTCCCTCCTCCTGTTCATCGATGATCTCGGCTTTCCTCTGATCCTCTACCTTTGCCTGATCGCCTCTCTGTACCAAGTACCCACTGTCTTGACTTTCACCAAGACTCCAATGAGGTCATATTGACTTCCCTGACGAATATCATCATCATGACCACAAAACAACCTTTATTATTTTCCTCTTGAATCTAAACCCTCGTAATTATCATACCACATTAGTGGACAGTGTATTGTATGTATGTATGAATGGTGAACTTCTTTCGCATCTTCTTGGTTCTTTCGGTAAAGTCACGTAGAAGGGAAGTAATAAAATAATAAAAAATAATAAAAATAAAACATAATAAAATTATTCTCACGACGTTTCGGCCACAACGCAAGCAGCCGTCCTCAGGTGAAAACCAGGTCCGTCGAGGCGACAGAGTCTGAATGAAACAGCACACGAGCTTGGAGCATATATATAAGCTGGGCGCATTGACAAAGGAATTTGCATATCTGATTCAACCGCATTAATTGATCAGACCAAACAGTTCTCGTTGAAACCTTCTGCACCCAGGCCACCAAGATTATACGGCTTGCCAAAGATACATAAAGAAGATACACCTCTTCGACCCATTGTCTCTACTATCAACTCCCCCACCTATAAACTGGCTCGTTTTTTGTCTGAAATCCTACGGCCTTTCACTGCAAAAACCACCTCTGCGGTACTAAACTCTACTGACCTGGTATCGACAATCAAGGGGATTGCCCTGTCCCCAGACGACCTGCTTGTCAGTTTTGATGTGGTTTCATTATTCACCAAAGTTCCTGTACCTGACACCATCGCAATCATTGAAGACTTGGTTCATCAAGGACTGAATGCTGGGGTACCCCCCCTGGTGAGACACTGCTTAACCAATACATACTTCACCTGGAATGGAACTTTCTACAAGCAAACTGAGGGCACCCCAATGGGCTCCCCCCTATCTCCGGTTGTAGCCAACATCTTCATGGAGAAATTTGAGACTGACGCCATCAAGACTGCCACTCTACGCCCGACCTTATGGAAGAGGTACGTAGATGACACTTTTGTCATCTGGCCACATGGCCGGCCTGCTCTAGACCAATTTCTCGACCACATCAATTCCATACACCCAGCCATCAGATTCACCATGGAAGTCGAAAAAGATGGCAAGCTACCCTTTTTGGATGTCCTAATTAAAAGGAGACCTGATGGTTCAATGAGCCACTCTGTCTACAGGAAAGCCACCCATACGGATGCTTACCTAAAACCGGATTCCCACCACCATCCATCCCAGAAGAATTCCCTCATCAAGACTCTATACCATAGAGCCCAATGCATTTCCGACCAGGAACACATTGGCAGTGAACTCAAACACGTACGCCAAGCTCTTAAGGCTAATGGTTACTCCGACTACACAATCCGCAAGGCCATCACTCCAACCATCAAGAATGATCCTGTTGAGGAGCCTTTCAAGACCATCACCTTACCCTACATTGCTGGGGTCACAAAAAAGATCTCCAAAATCCTGATTAAACACAAGATCCAGGTCCGATTCAACACAGTACATAAAATCCGTGATCTGGTCCCGTCTGTAAAAGATGTGGTTCCAGACATACAGTACCCTGGCGTCTACAAACTAAGTTGCCTCTGTGGTAGCAGTTACATTGGGGAAACCAAACGACATGTCTCGGACCGCATCCGTGAACATAAGGCAGACCTGAAACACGGTAGGACAAACACCTCAGCCGTGGCAGATCACTGTTATAATTCAGTGGGCTCACATGACATTGACTTCTCCAAGACAGAGGTTCTCTGCAAGCCATCTGGCTATCATGAGAGATTCGTTCATGAGGCGATCCACATATACAAACACAGAGACAATTTCAACCGAGAAGATGGATTCTGGCTTAGCAATCATTGGAAGGACGTAATAAACCATTTCGGATCTTAACTGATTGTGTTCACGTTTACGGTGACTTTCAGACCGCGTTCCACTCACTGGCATGGTGCAGTGTGCAGAGTAATGTATGGTGTCGTAATTGTATAGTAAATATATAGCAGTGTAATACACATTAGGGTGGGTAGAATAATACATAGTGTTATATTAAATGGATAAGGCAGCAACTGCAGTAGCAGCAGCAACTACAGCAGCAGCAGCAACTGCAGCAGCAGCAACTGCAGCAGCAGTAACTGCAGCAGCAGCAGAAACTGCAGCAGCAGCAGCAGCAGCAGCAACTGCAGCAGCAGCAGCAACTGCAGCTCTCTTTGATGCTGTTAATCCTGCATAATGCACATGCATATGCAGTACTAATCACATTCCTGCATTTCCCATAAATATGCTAAATTACTCTTGATATGCAAATTCCTTTGTCAATGCGCCCAGCTTATATATATGCTCCAAGCTCGTGTGCTGTTTCATTCAGACTCTGTCGCCTCGACGGACCTGGTTTTCACCTGAGGACGGCTGCTTGCGTTGTGGCCGAAACGTCGTGAGAATAATTTTATTATGTTTTATTTTTATTATTTTTTATTATTTTATTACTTCCCTTCTACGTGACTTTACCGAAAGAACCAAGAAGATGAATCCCTGCAGTCACGAAAGCTTTAAATCAAAATTCTTTCGCATCGTACGTAGCCAACCGTGCTAATCGGAGGTGTGTGTTACTGTCATGACTTAGAACAGGATAGTATGCCAACAATTATGAGTACCACTTTGTGGGGAGTCAAAAGCATCCATTCTTTGGCAAGACTGAACTGTGCAATGGGTACGTTGAATTCCACCATTGGTTGTCTCTGTTTTCAGAGTAACCAGGTTAATGTAACCAGGCTTCCATCGACAATGAGCATTAATTACCCATATGGGGTTTTACCTGTGCCAAAATTAAACCTAACCCTACAAATGGAAGGCTGTGGTTTCAAATCATTGTTATTACCATCACAGTAGTCGTCCCTGTTGCTTTACGATGTTGCCCTGTGGAAGATGAGCTCGTCCTGGATGAAGCACGGGTGGCAGGGTGGAGGATCGCAGGGTTGCCAAGAAATATTTGGGAGTGGCCACCTCAGGTGTTGATGGAGGCACTGGCCCGCGGCATATGAATGTGGAACTTCAACCAACGTCTCAGGGCTGCCTACAGAGATGAGCACAGCCAACGCGCTTGTTTGAACATGGAAACAACACTTAGGATTTGTTTCGCTATTACTGAAAAAAAATCCTTGATTTGAAGCTTTCGTGACTGCAAGGATTCATACTCTTTGTTTTTTTCGGTAAAGTCACGTAGGAAAAAAACAAAGAGAAAAATAATCCGTCAGTTTATTTAGTGTTAGGCCCGTTGAACTAAAAATATATTTTTAATGGCGACCCAGCCAGAGCTAAATGGTTTTTGTTGTTGTTGATACTGTAATGGGCGTTTTGGTTTTTTGTTGTTATTGATACTGTAATGGGCGTTTTGTTTGTTGTTGTTGTTGCTCCAGGTCCTCCAGGAAAGAGTGGAAAGAAGGGAAGAGCTGGTGTCCCAGGTGAGGTCTTACTTTGCTCCAGTTTTTGGTTTCGTTTTCCCTCCCAGCTGAAATCGGCCACCCTCCCGGCCACCGCGCGCCCTGCGATGTCTCTCATCTTGGCCGTCATTCGCGGCCTCTACCCCCCCCCACTTCTCGCCCTGACCTCAGCTCTCTCTACCCGTCTCTCTCCAGCTGCCCAAACTTACACAAACACTGTCCAGTTCTATGCAAGAGAAAATAAACCGCCGCATTGCCATTCATTTTAAAAGGGATGATGAGATAAATGAGGTCTTCACAAAAGATTATTAATTTCTTTTAAAATAAAATAGTTTTTTTCAACCATGGAATCGTTATAGCAGTTAGATTATTTATTTCAATGTTTTTCATCAGCAAGGTAACAAAGGAGCAGTAGTTTGTGTTAAGTTAAAGCACACAATTGCCTACGCTTATACAATGACCACTGCACAATGATGTAATGGGGTCTCTCCTTCTCCACTTTCCAATTACTTATACAGTATTTATATTTATGAGTCTCAATTGCTGTGCACATAAACCTCCCATATTGATGTTTTACTTGTATGAAGGACTTATTATGCAGACACATTGTGATCCCAAGAGATATTTTACTTAAAAAATACTTATTTTATTCTACCAGGTAAGGCCCACTCAGCTATATAGCTATTTTTCAGGAGCCGACCTGGCAACAAATGATAGCCCAACGAAGTGGCTTATCACGTGGAAATTTACAGTAACCAAATATTAAGAATCCACGTTTCTCAAATGTGGGTAACGGAGAGTGCCCGGCGGTGACCGCCCACGAAAGCTGGGCCCAACGTGCCCCCTAGAGCCCCACTGACGCATACGGCGGTCGCCGACAACACTGCGCTCCGTAGCCGTGAGCCAGCAACAGAACCTGATGGGCGGTGGGAAGGATATTGGGCTTCTTCATATGCGCCCCCCCCCCCGTGGGTCACTGCCGCTAAGAGGACTTCCCTCCCAAAGCGGCCCCTCCTGGAACACCAATGCGGTGTCCCCTCCTGCAATGCCTCATAAGTGTGTTGTCGGGAGCTCCACGCGGTCGTTCTATGCCATGCTGGCCCATGGCACTTCCAGTGCCCTCGTCGAATTGGGGGTTTACATCTCCCCTCACCTCACCACCCCCGCGTGCCTAGTTCCTCTGGGTTTGTAAGCTTCTTGGATGCATTCTATCACCTATCAAGCAACCCTCAGCTTAGAGGCAGGTGCATCACTCTTGTTCTGACCATACAGCACGAAGATTTGTTAAAGATTCGTTTTGATTTCCTTCACTCATTAGATATTTTTTTGTGATAGAAGGAAAGGGTCCTGCATCGCTCAGACCTCATGTAACCTGGCCTCTGCATTTAGAATTAAACGGCAGGATAATTTTGGAGAATGATCTCCTGCTTAACATGGAAATCCGAGAGGATTTTTCGAACAATCGAGGCGACGTCCTCAACACCGCTCTTTTCTTTGAGAGTACCGGGAACGGTGGTTCTGCCACCAAAGTCTACGACTCACCGACCCTTCTTGCCGAAGTTATAGCCCCCAAAATGCAGTCTCCATTGTTAGAAACCTCTCGCGACAGGTCCCCAGAGGCTCAATTAGAGGAACGACACGTAATGTTCAGCACAAGATGTAAGTCCCATCGGTACCACTCCTGACCTCCAGCAAATTGTTCTTACTCCAGTTGGCTGTCGACATTCGAAGTGGAGTGTGACCCTCAAAGGAATGGCACCACGCCCGTGGTCGCCCCACCCCCCCTCCCGTGATCCGTGGATCAAACAAATCACTGTAGACGGTGGTGTACGGCAGCGAGAGCAGATTATGAGAATGCTGCCACAAGAGGTCACACGTTTGGCGCAACGGTCCTTCGCTGACTGTGCGTGATGAATTAATGAACTCCTGACCTCACGGGCAGCCTCTCCTGCCTCATTGCCCTGACTAGCCGAGACACAATTCTGGCTGAGCCAATCTGGGCTCCCCTGACCTCATTATGAAAGGCTGAAATAGCCGATACCCTGACCTTTAACGGCCGCTTGGGATAGGAGTCCCCAGAATTCGTCCACCAGGAACCATGCACGCTACTCTGCATGACACCAGATTGAGGTCTTTCTTCTTTGTTCAGCCCCCAGAACCTCTTCCAGTGAGAGTTGTATACCCTCCCCACGGAGGGTCTCCTTGACTTAGGTAGGTGGTCCAACGCCTCTGTGTCTATACCCCATCACATGAACCGAGGTCTCTCATCCCCGAGGCCACTAAGCTCAATGCCAGGAGACACCCCCCCCCCTCTTTATTGAGGAGTTCTGTCCTCTGTGGAAGCTGCCAGGCTTCCCCTGTCATCATGGGCAGCAGATTTGAAAACCACAATCTCCAGGGATCATGTGGTGCAATTATCCCCACCTTGTTCCCTTCCCTGTTGCACTTCTCCAGCACTTTGGGAATGAAGGGGAACGGAGGAAACCCATAACGCAGCTGCCCCACGGTGCGTCTGTCACCATCGTCTGTCTTGCCGTTTTCCCACGAGGCAAACCGAACCAAGCACAGGACATGCGAATCTCCCCACTAAGTATTTCATTTTTCACAACTCATACAATAGTAGGACTATTTAGACTTTTTCAATAAAATAGTTTTTCACAGACGTTGCCACCTCCAACGCGGATGTCTAACATCCCTTTCGAACTATTGGATGGATTGCGCTCACGAGAAAAACCCCGAAGTGCAGTCGATACTCAGAGATGCTGGACGGTCAGCGTGAGAAAACCTAAACACTGACTCAAGCAGTGGCAGAGGGACCACGTTTTGTAGGCATGACCATCCAGGCATCCAGCCGGGCAGCCAGCCAGTCAGCCAGCCAAACTTTTAATTTAATAATATTGTATAGTATGATAATAGTGAATGAAGTCGTCTGGGTGCCCAGCACAGGGTTCATGTTCATGGGTATGGAGTCGGAGTGTGCCCGTGACTATCGGATGTATAACGGATGCCAACCCGGCTATTACCGTGTGTGACCAGCAAAGCTCTCCGATGCAAGTTGTGGTTGTACCACGTGTTGTGCGGCATGATGCCTGTCGCTTTGATCCACGTGCGGGAAACATTTTCAGGAAATGATCGATAAGAAAAAAAATTCGGAACTTAAATCGAAGCCTCGTTGGTGTGGCTATTGAACTGGTTTCCTTGATTTAATTTGTTAAAAAAAAGTTGGCACAGTGTGTGCCTGAGTCATACATGACAACTCACGAATGAAAAAATATTAACTTAAATATCAATTAACCAAAAATAATAGTTATTAAATTCTAACCTAATTAGTTGACTCAAGCAGTGGCAGTTAATTAAATAGCAGTAACTGCATTATATCCTATGAAGGAGCTTCATGAGCGTTAGGTGAAATGGTAATGTTGGGTCAGAGGAAAGGAAGAAAGTTAACAGTTGGAATGCAATTAATACTTAACTGCCAAAAGATATAATGCCTGTGAACACTGATAAATGAATCAATTATTGAAAACAAAAAGTGTCTGGTTCTTGAAAAGCTACATGAAAAAGAACATTGTCACCTTGGAGACGTCGACAAATATGGGCATTGTTTTTTTAATTTTACATTATTTTGGGCAGGATGTCAGCGTTAAATGAAGTCTGCGCAGCATCAGTCAAATTGGCAATGACTGAGCAGCAAAAAGCGATAAAAAGTCCCTCTGGGCTTGAAAAAAAAAATATTCACCGCCCCAGAGATGAGATCTCTTTCAGACACGCACGCACGCCGACTCACCGAGCGGCGAAGCTTCGTACGAACGAGATCCGTGTTGCACTCGGAGGATTGGATATGTTTTTCTGAACGTCAATAAAATTACGTAAAAATATTTTTTTTACGTGGGGAAACAAAAAAAAAGGATTTAAATTTAAGGTCTGCAGTCAGAAGGAATTGCGTGTGATTTCTTTGAGAAACGCTCCGAACCGCCAATAAGGGGAAAAATCCTTTCTGTCATCGCCAGCAGCTTAGGGTGGTAGTTCCTGTCCAGCCGTGACAGTCGGAATTGATGAGTTAATATTTTTTTTGTGAATGAGCTTCTCGTTGTTGAGATTTTGCTGCAGTGGCTTTGTCTCGTATTGCAGAAGCTTCGGAGACGTTTTTTTTTTCGCTTAACATAGGTATGTGAGAAAGCTGCAGAGTCTAAATATTTTTTCAAGAAGGTTCTGCTTGTGATGTTTGGCCAATTTTTTACTTAAACCGGAGTGCCTAGAGAACAACACGAGCTTCATGAATTGAGAATATTGTGTCGCGGACAAATCAAAGTGTATACTTTCGTACTTTTTGCGTACATTTATGCATAAAAATACATTTTCAACTGTAAACAATAACATTAATACTCAAAATACTTAAATATTAATCGAAAATGTTAAATATTTGTGTTGTTACCAATTTGTTTGGAAATATAACAGGACACTGATTAATTTGGCCTTTCCTTTTTTACAGCTCCCTTATAACTCTGTCACAGAAGCCTCATCAAGTTGCGAGATTCTCTTTCATTGAAGTCAATTGGAGTGATCACTAATTCCAATAATCACCTTCTTTAGCAGCTTTAAGTGTCACATAAGTTCCTTGGATGGGTGGCAATGCTGTTTCAGTATTTGATTTTACAGTCACAAAGTTGAGGGTTAAATTCCAGCCAGTCGAGGGAGATGTACGCAGGAGGTTATGGGTTCGATCCCGACCCTGACGATGCCTGAATATTTGGAGTCCACGTTTCCTCTCTCTCCCCCGTAGTCACGTGGTTTTTCTGCGGGTCCTCCAGTTTTGCCCTCCACATTCGCACTGCTGCCAATCGGTCGGTCACATTTGCTCAAATTTATTTCGATAGCGACCGAAGGCCAGAGGGTCAAAGGGCAATTCTACAGGAACTGCTCAAACATTTTTGCATGATGTACAAAGGCCGAGCCCTAGCTTATCCCACCATGCAGCTGTAGGTCTTCCTCTTGGCTATCGATCTCCGGGAACCATCCCAATTCCGTCTCAGGAACCTGTGCTCCTCCACGCTTAACGCGTGGTCCCTCCCATCGCAACCTCCTCTTCCTGATCGCATCAACAACGCTTGCCTGCCAAGGTTCCATTACGAACTTTCAAATGTCTTACCCTCTCTTGCCATAGACATGCCTTGCCTCCTCCACATGCACGTGTATTCAAGTGCCAGGAACCTTATTTGTAAATGCTTTGTTAAAGGCCAGCTCTCTGACTTGTATCGTAACACACAGACACTAGAGCTATGCAATTGTAATAATAACTCAAATTTATGATGCACATTCCGTCTCAAGATCCCAATGCGACAAATCGAGATTGAACACTCAGTTTCTTTAGAACTGCTTTTTTGACCCTCTCCCCCACGCACCACCGATTAGCGCGGTTGGCTACGTAAGGTGCAAAAGAAGTTCAACGTACACACATGCACAGATGTCACTCCTGCTTCAAAACACCCAGCTAGTAATAATCACGATTCACAAACCTCAACTCGCATTCACCAACAAGCCCCACTCATACACATTTACAGCACTTTATCATTCCAATGCTGGACGGGGGCCTTCCCGCGCTGTATCAATCAACGGGGATTGTTTCACCATACTTCACCACACCGGTCAGCGTGTGTTGATGAAAGGAGAGGCCAGGGCCGATTCAGATGCCACTCGCCACTGACGTGAGCCATCGAACTCGGGTCACTGGGTTCGCAGGACGTTGCTCTAACTGCTGCGTTACCACTCCCCCCGCCTCCCCAACACCCCCACACTGATGATTGTATTATTACATTTTTTTCTAAACCGAAGAGGGGCCTGCAGGTCAGTTTCACGACGGTACGTCGCATTTCAGCTCTGGTCATATGGGTTACCGGCGTTGGGAGTGGTGGCGCAACGGCTCACACACTGCCCGATGAATCCGGCAAGCTGAGTTCGATTCCTGGCTACGGCTCGCGTGAGCGGCGAGTGACGTGTGATGAACCCTGCCTGCAGGCCCTCTCCACCAACCGCACTGGGTCAGTGCGGCTTTTTGTTTGAAGTGAACAGGATGGTGAAGCACGGTTCGCCAACCCCGCATAAACAAGCCCCATGATCGACACGTCACGTGGGGACGCCTTAAACCGGCAGTGGATTGACAAGAGAGCTGTAAATGAAGATTATTAACGAGGAAACGGGCTTGTCAGGGTAATGAATGTGGCAAGTTTTACGCGTGTTACTTGGGCACTGTCTGTGATTTTACCTCCCCCGCCCCGTAATGTCTCTTGTATGGAATGACATAATTGAAACCATACTCTGTTTTGTTACATTCTCATTAATCACCTTCTCGCTCGCTCTCTCTCTCTCAATCTCGCTGTGTGTATGCGTGTGTTTCTGCTTCTCTTCAATTATCAGGCCTCCCGGTAAGAAAAGAACATCGTGTATGTTTAATTTCTTCTTATTATTCACATGTTCACCCCCAAGAGCTTTCTTTTTTTAGAACGTAAATAAACTAGAACCGTGGCACAGAACAACCTTGAGGTAAGTCAAGCTATGTTGCACAATGACGCAGACTATATTACAAGCTAACATTGAAATGTCAAGGTGAAAACCAACTGCATATTTTAAAGCATTAACTTACATAATGCCTTCCTTTTTGTTTTATTAAGTCCCGCTATCTTTATTTCGTATTTATACACATTTGTCTCAATAGGTTGTAGATCATACGGAATGTACACTTGCGAGACGTTGAGAATGACATTGACTTTGAAGCACTCCGCAATAAATGTATGAGAATGACGTTTAGCTCTTATCCCAGTAATCATGCTAACATTGGGCCAACGTCAGTCTAAAGTTTGATGCTTACTGAGATAGTCCACTGCTGGATGAAGGCCCTCCCATTGCTCTGTCGGTCACGGAGGTGGTTTGACCAGACTTCGTCATGCTGGTCAGTACTTGTTGGTGAAGGGGTTGTGCCCAGAAGCAATTGCCATTTTCACTGTACCCACTAGCGGTGTTATAACTGTGGCCGGCAATATACCCCGGTCATTCATTTGGCAGCCACCGCCATGCCCTCAGTTCACAGTCTTGAACCTTGATCCTCGCAGCAGCGTCCAGAAATCAAAGAAGGCTGACACTTGAGAATTCTACCCCCCCTCCTCTCCCCCGCCACAATCACATGACCCTTGACAGCCAAAAGACAGTGTTTATTTATTTTTTGGCATAGTGACCAGAGGCACTGGGCCCAGTTAGGTTAGCTTAGGAGCAATTAGACTACACCAAGGTCTTTTGCCATGCTGGCCCGCGCGGAATTGCGCCGGCAGGAGAGACCTGGCCTCCCCTGCTCGGCCGTAGGCATGGCAGGACACTGCAGGAACAAACCAACCCCCACGACTCGCACTTTCATCGCCCGAGTCCCGATCACGGAATCGGGGAAAGTGCTCATTGCCTTGACCTCACAGGTTCGAAATAGACAGACCCGTGCCAAGCCACCTTGAGGTATGGCGCCTTGAGCAAGTGGCCCGGCACTCGGCCATCAAGGTCAACGGCAGCAGTGCCTTGGCTCGACAAGCGTGTGCCGTGCGCCGCGGGGAAGCATTCTGCCCAAAGTCGCCCTCATGAATGGTGGGCCTGCTGCGGCAGCAGTCCCCTCGTGGATGCTCCCATTGCTCGGCGCGTCGTGGCCCCAATGAAAGCCCGGAGAGCTGAATGGAGTTCAAAAGAACTCACAAACAAAACACTACATCGTTGCGAAAAAGCCAACGCAAATGATCCCCTGAGTTTGATCTTCCACGAATCGCATCCACTGCGTAAACCACGCCAGATGCGGATACCTCATGCACAAATGGAAAATTAAAAACTCCCCAGTTGTGTGTGTGCCTGGTCATCCAGAACAGTCCGTACAACAACATATAACTACGCAATACCCGATCCACAAATACGAAGGAGTCATCACAGCGAGGACACACGCCGCTTCTCCTAACACGGTTATCTGGGCTTGGCCACCTGAATGTGAAGTTGTTATTGTTGCTCTGCATCTACGTCAGCAGCCATACGAAAGAAGAACAGGACTGTTGTGGACAACCTCCGCGCTTGCCCTGCATGATCCCATCGATAGGACAGCAGACAAAGAGGCCCACAAGGAATGTTCCACGGCTACACTTACCCTCAGAGCTGCGGTTTATGTCGCGTATGCAGGAAAGCTGGCACGAAAGGCACTCCTCAAACTGAAATGCAAGACTAACAATGCTGCTGCCAACACAGCGTTCAATAAAATCCATAACTGGTCTCTGCCTTGACATGAGGTGCCCGGATCAACACCGCCAACTGGAAGGTCAGAACTATGGTCACCTGAGTGGTGGCCAGGTAGGCCCTGTTACAAAGAAAGCTCTGTACCGCCCACTCACTGAAGGTCTCTCTTTCATAGCGCCCGTTCAATGGCAGACTACTCTCTCGGCATAGCAACCCAGGAGGACCTGGGCCTGGAGCACAAGGAGCAGAGGGATTAAAAAGGCAGCCTTGCAGGCTTGCCTTATTTTCATTCCCCCTTTCAGGAACCAAGGCTACTCCCAAGGCTACTCACCCACCCGGCTTACTTTAGAAGTGGCCAACCCTCCTGGAGGTCGGAAAAACTTTTTCAGGGGTAGATAATCGCGGTGAGAATGGTTGACTTCAACACTGCCTCCCAATCCACCTTCAAAGATTGATACTGGGGGGGGGGGACACACTGACGTCTTGATAACCCAGGTGCCCCCTCGACTAGAGGACACCTGTACAACGCTGGGAAGCAATACAGCACACAACCCAGGATCTATTGCTTCTGGACACCGTCAAATCGGGTACACTCACATATTTCTATGTCAGACCTCCAGTTCCCTTTGGGGAGACTCCGAAGCACCACAGGAACCCTCAGTGATGCAGGCCTTGAAAACTGAAGGCACGAGGTTTGGAGATATAGAGGCCATTGTGGAGGTCTTGGGTTTCTACTTTAGGATTTTTCATGGTCACCATCCTGAACCTGCAGTGAATCAATCGTCAAATCTGCATTGGTATTTCAAAATGGACTCCGCTGCATTCCATGGAAGTGAAGGTCAGGGTTGAACACTTAGCCTACATGTCATCAAAAAAAGACGCAGAGGTCGTTCTGTATAGCCTTTAACAGACTGGCGCAAGTGTTGTTATCGAACACCTATGAAGGATGGCACTGCACACAAGGGGGTGGGTGGCCAACACCACATCCGGCCTGCTTTCACCTTCGTTTGACAAGAAGGACACTACCAGAGAGAAGCCTCTGTAGTCATCCCACAATAATGGCCCCTCATTCCAAACTTAGGACTGAGGGCAGGCAGTAGCCACCGAATACCATAAATAGGGCCTTGATATTCACGTTAAGGCCAGTTTTAGAGGCAGGCACACCGTGCCTTGCTCCCAATCCACTTGCCCCTCAAAAACAAGGGTTCCAGTGTGTTCACCCCTTTTAAGTTAGGTCAAGATAGTCCAGTCCTATGCTGGGGTTGCGTGTCCCCAGCCTTTAACTTGTTTTGCTATTCCACTGCCTTATGGGTGCTGGTGGGGGGGCACGTGATATGGGGGATGGAATCCTCAATTCTCCACCTGCCAAGCTTCTTTTGCTTTCTGAAAGCTGCCCCGAGGATCGAGGTCCAAAGCTGAGGACAGACGACATGACGGTGGCTGCCGTTGAACACTGGGCTTAACCGTGCTGCGAGTTCTTGGTGATGGAATGACAGTAAAAGGGACAACCACCGCAGTGCTGGAGTGATGAGGTCAGCTCACATGTGGGAGCGGGTTGTATGATAGCATCACGGGAATATGCGGGATGGTGACTGTGGAGAGGCCTGCATCCAGCAGTGGATTAAGAGTGGCTGATGATTGTGATTACTTAATGCTTGCTGTTTATATTGGTGCTTAGAACACAGGCAAACAATTTTACTCACATGAAAACCAAGCACGTCGTAGGCAAAAACATATAAATGAATGCTCACGCACGTTTTAATGTTTTAAAATTCACTCTATTTTCTGTGCGACTCGTTTTGGATGCCTAGTTGCTTGACGTAACAAAATGGAATAATTCACGTGTTACTTTGGTTTTATTCTTCTGTCTGTTTTTCCCACAGGGGCAACCGGGGAGGGATGGCTTTCCGGTAAATCCTACAATCCTTTGCACATGTTCATCATTTGTTCGGGGCCAGTTTGTCCCATCGACAACCCGGCAATGTGGAATTTCCACCTCGGGTTCAGGGTCAACAATGGAGATTAGCAGCACCTCGAATTTAATTGACACACGGATACGCTCAGATTTTATCTCTCTCTGATGTGTTTTTCGGGTAGTACCCAATGTCGGAACTGGGAAGAAATTACTAGGGGAGCTCATTCATGAGATCCTGACTATACAGGCCGCCCCTTCCATCCCCCAGAGGTGGATTGTACCAAGTAAGCTTGAGCGCAAGGGGTTGGTGGACGACAAAATTAACTAATACAGTCAGATTTATGCTGGCAATCTTGTTGTTGTACGGGTTTGTGCTGGCCTCTCACTGCCATTCCCTTCCCTCCTCCCACGCGATCCACCAATTCAACTTCTAGAGCACCGCGTTAAGATGCAGCAGTGGCAGGATGCCACGGTGGTGAGATGTTATTGACTACCTTTCCTGGTATACCGGAGGTCGTGGGTTCGATCCCAACCCTGACACCTGTATATTTGGAGTTTTAATGTCCTCCCAGTGGTCACGTGGAATTTTTTTTCGGGTCCTCTGAGTTTTCCTTCAACATTTAGAAACTTGTATTTAGAGTATTTGGATACTTAAAATTTCCACATGATTAAGCTAGTTCGCTGAGCAATAATTTGTGGCCAGGTTCCTTCTGAAAAAAAGCTATATAGCTCAGTGGGCTTTACTTAGTTAAATAAAAAATAGTTTCGTTTACACGTCCACAATAATCACCTGATTCGAGACCCAAACGTCATCGCACCTCCTGGCTTTGACATTGCCACTCAAAGACACCGGTGGTGCAATCGTCAACCACATCAGAACATCACCAGGCCGATGCGGACATTTCCTTCATGAATGGAAAATTAAAGACACAAGTCACAGTGTGACTTTGGCCGTGCAACACAAACGCTGGACCAGAAAGTAAATCACTGTAGTCTTTGCTCCTGCAATGGAGGAATACCAAACACAACACGAACTCTCATCTGAAACCCTCTCTATGTATGTTCAACTTCGTTTGCACCGTACATAGCCAACCGTGCTAATCGTGGCCAGCAGACCTCGACATTGGCATTTTGGAACATATTAGATTTGATTTATTTCTGCAGGAAGGGCCCAAAGTGCCGCTAGGCTATATTCCATTGGCATTCTGCGACGGTACAGATGTTATGCAGTACAGATCTTTGTCACACAGAAGAGTGACGTGGCGTGGAGTAGGTTTTGTTTTCTAGACGATCGGTGCGCGTAAGGGAATCCCAGGGACAGCTAAGGCCTTTCATTTTGTCTAAATCCGACGCCATTTCCCCGTGTTTTGTTTAATAAAGCGAGCACTTTCTGCAGATTGTAAAGCTCCCTTTAAAATAAAGGTCGTCTCCTAACGAGAGATCGAAATTACTCGATTGAAATTACACACAAAGCAAAGCAAATGATCGATTTTCCTCAGATTAAGCAAAACTCATTTTAAAAGTCTTTTTTTTTATTTGCAGGAGCACAAAGAGGGGGTTTTGATTTAGCAAAGCATTACAGTTCCGTTCGTGTAGAGTAACGCGCGGGTTATGGGAATGTATTGAATTTATACCACTCAATCAAGAGTATTTTTTTGTTTTACCACACAAGTAAAACCAAGCTTTGTTATTTCTTCGTAACGTAAGTCACAAATATGCGCGTCGATCAAATACTCCGAGGGCTTAAACCTGTTTAAAGAAATGTGAAAGCTCAAGAAAGAGAGGGGAAAAAATATTTTAACGCCGATTAAGATTTTACTTACAGGACTTATTTGGAATTTTATACTGCATTTAAAGCAACATTCTCACTTCGTATAAGATATTGCAGCTGCGATGCTGGCGATGATGGTGAGTCTCGCTCTGTGATTCATTTGTCCCTACATTTCCCCGTTTCTGACTTGCAAGAGAGACACTGGCTCTTGCACCGGGCTCTTACCCCGTAGCTTGAAGGCCAACTGAAACGGCAAGTTAGTGTTCGGATAGCCCTAAGTTATGTAAGTTGCAATGCAGTACAGTTTTAATTAATGAAACATATAAGAGAGGTATGACGCATTGAGACAGGTTTAGATAATTTCTGTTAAGATATCAAATGCCCCCTGAGATTGCTTTATAGAAATTCAGGTGTCATTATGCCTCACGCCATCGATGCTACTGCGCGTTGGAAGCACTTATTCCATTCTACCATCACAATGGCCCAACCATCCATCCGGCTTTAGGTAATTTTCTTCTTGGTCAACAACTTTTTTGGCTACCATTGCAATGCCTGGCTTGGCTAGCCCTGCCATCCCCAATTTCTTTCGATCAGACGCATTCTCCTCCGGACTTGCACAACCGCTTTGACGGTTGCGCACCAGTTTCGTGAGATGTCAGCAGACGCCAAGCAAGAGCTGAGACTCGGATGGTCCTTGAATGAGCAATCAGAGCGGTGTCGTAGGCTCGAGCTTGAGGGGCTGCTGTGATTAACAGCAAACTTCGCTGTTGTCCTGTAACGTCTTTACTCACGTGATGTCTACCCCCCCACCACCACCGGCCCCCCGCATTTACCAACCCGCACCGTGGTGATAGGGGCCGTCCATAAATGACGTCACGCACCTAGGGGGGGGGGGGTCAGACATTTGTGACGATGTGTGACGAGTTGGGGGGAGGGGTTGAGAAATGTGACGTCACGTAAAAATGCTCAACTTTAAATAAATATTAGCAACACGTTAGCAACACGTTCTACTTAATTAAATATACTTTTTTTAAATAAATCAGAGTGCAGCGCCACATTAAAAACGCACGACAATGACAATAGTTTAAAGCGATTTGAAGCTGTTTTATTTTCAAAATGTAAATGTTTTTTTTGTGACGTCATATATGAGGGGGGGGGGTTGACTTTTTGCGACGCCGTGTGACGAAGGGGGGGGGGGGGGGTAAAAAATCGTCCAAAATCGCGTGACGTCATTTATGTACGGCCCCCATATGATCAGAAGAGTCCACTAAAACCCACACGTGTGCATTCTCTCGAAGTATAGCAAGGCCGTGCAAGCTGCACCTATACTCACGGGCCAGAAGAGATTTCGTGTCTCTACGCTTTGGCCAAGTCCGCATTTCTCGCGCGTAAGACGGTGTTTGTCAAGCATGATGACGATACGGATTTTGCCGCACGAATGTAGACCTCTCACGTTCCATTTGGGAGCAGGCTGAGTTCCGTTAACTTCATGGCAGACCCCGGAGCCTGCAGTTGCAAAGGAATAGCTTGCAATGGGTAGTTTAACAGGGTAGTACAACAAGTAGGTGGATAACATTAATTCACTACGTGTCGGTGTTGCCTCCTCGTACGTGTTGTTTTTCTGGGGCTACCAAACCTGTCAACAATCCCTTATCAGTGCCCTACTTTATTACAGACCAATTCAGACCTTATTGGTCATCCCGTGCCCTTTACAATCTCAATGTACATCCGACATCACAAGGGAAAAACACTAACAAATAGACAATATTCTTGGTTCTTTCGGTAAAGTCATTAGGACGCTGTCTTTCCGACATCTCTGTTTCTTCACCTGAGGACGGCTGCTTGCGTTGTGGCCGAAACGTCGTGAGAAATGTATTTTATGATGTTTTATTTTATTATTTTATTATTTCCCTTTACTGAAAGAACCAAGAATATGAATCCCTGCAGTCACGAAAGCTTTAAATCGAAATATACGTATATTTATTTTGCCCGTATTGATGACAACTGCTTGTGTTGAAAATCGAAACGTCGTTTTCTATTCTTTAATTTATTTTCTTTCTACGTGACTTTACCGAAAGAACCAAAGAGTGCCACCTCAACTCGTTCTCTTCCCAGCGACTGACCGTGAACCAGCTGTCCCCTTCACCTGACGCAGCTAATCGATACAACCTGCGAGCAAGCCGGCGTTGGGGCTCTGAAAGAAAGCACGTGACACCCCCCCCCCCCCCCCGCCGCTGCTAAGGCTCATTACATGGCCCCCGACGGGAGCTGCCATGGTGGAACGGTTCCCACGCTGGAACTCGCAACGGCAGAGGTCCCCGCTTCGGTTTGGTTCGATCTCCGGGCGCGGCGGTTGAAACGATGGCACAAGTTTCTTAAATTACCCCCCCTCTCCCAAGCCCCGCCCCCCCCCCCCGGGGCTCTGTCCACTCAGCAGTCTAAATGGTTACACAACAGTTTGTCGATCTTCAGGTCATGTGTGGTGGGGTAAAGTGTGGGCACCCCCCACATATTCCAAGTCGGCTGGCCAGTGCGGAAGAGTAGGCCAAAATACCCCTTTTTGGGGGGGGGAGGGGGAATAGGGGGGGTCTCTGAAGCTCTCTGTAGTGGTGGCCGTTCCGACAAACAGCAGGCGCGTGTGCGGTGGGGGGACATTGTGGGTGCTCCCATAACTTCGAAGGTGTTTGGCCAGTATGGGACAGTAGGCGAAGTGCCCTCTCGAAGGGCTCTCGAGAGCTGTCTTGATTTGGCGCCCTTCTGTCGGCAGTGGCGTGCGCTCGCAATTGCAGGGCTGCGCCTTCACCACCTTTACCTAATTTAATGTGCTCATAATGCACCGGCCCTCCCCCCACCTCCGGCTTGCTCTGCGCTTGAGAAATGTGGACACGGGGGGGTGGGGGGGGGCAAAATAGGGTTTGAAAGGTTTTCTGTAATTGGAATCGCCATGGCAAAGTGGGGGTTGATTGTCAATCTGGGTGGCCTGCCTGCCTGCCTTCTAAGCGCTCTTCAAAGAGCGAGGAGCGCAGAAGTTACTCGCCCAGCAGCTCCCTCGCTTACACGGAACCTTCGGCATGAAACATTCGCGGGGCGGCGTTTTTAATTTAATCGTTTTTACATCCGGCCCAATCTCGCTGTGGTAGAGCGCTCGAAGGTTACAAAGTAAAACATCCCACGTGAGACTCGCCCCATAACCCTTAATCAGGGTGAGTAGCATGCTTACATCTTGGTGGGACGTTAGCAGCGGTTGTCCTTTGGGGAAACGGGTCCCCGCCACATGAATGTGGAGTTACTCCACTGATTTAGGTCAGCCAAAGGATGCGAGCAACAACTCTACCACGCTGTGTTTGGTTAAGGAGACATTGGTATGGTTCCACAGCTCATTTTAGTTGGGCTAAATGTAAAGGAGATTAATTTTGGTGATTAAAAAAAAATCAAAGAAGGTGATTCTGTGCAGCCTCTACCTACCGCACTGCCTGCAGGCTTTCATTCGGCTGGCAGTGGTTGAGTGGCTGTTTTGTGTTTGGTGTAAAAGTGCTCATTGTTAAAGCAAAGTGGTGCCAAGGGCTGAGAAATTTAGTCTGCGTTAAGTGTATTATTTATTTAGTTGTATTTTTTTGGTGGGGGCCCTTTGCGTGCTTGTAAATTTAGTACCAGCAGCAGTTATGCAGAAAAGCCCTCTTATTCCATTCTTTGTCTTTATGTTTATTTTTTAAAATCTATCTTTAGACATTGTGTAGGCTGGTGGGGGAATGAATTATGAGTTTATTTTACTATGAAGCTTTACTTAGTCAAGACAACATTATTTTTTATGGAAATTGCATATGGCCAGGTGGCTCTGTCGCAGAGAAAATGGTTCATAATCAAAATATCACGAGTCAAACTACCCGGTTCGGTGTATACTCACCCCATCAACCCCTCATAGATCAATGTTGACTTCTCCCATAGGTTAACTGTCAAAGGTCAACAGTAGGTAAATTGGTCCCCACTCTAGCAATATGGAATTCATGGTATTTGGTCAATTCTTCGATGCTGGCCAGACGTCTTGGAAGAAGAGATGAGGACCCACACTTTACACCACCATATGTGACCTGCTGATCGGCTAATTCTGGTTTACCCATTCATGCTGCTGGCTTGACAGAGGCGGAGGGGGGCCTGATTTTAATCGGCTTGCACCATCGTTTTGCAGACTTGCGCTGGGAAAATGATCCGGTGACCTCTGCATTGCAAGTTCAGTCTGCTCACAATTATACCAGGGTGGCAATCGCTGATTAGTGTACTGGGTTACAGTCCAAACTGCCCAAACTACGTTCAATTATTTTTTCACGTGTTTATCTTTTTTCAAATTTGTACTATCGACATCTTGCTGTGAGGAAAAATATCCATTGGCGACTCTCTCTAAAACCAGTGCATCATCACCTAATCTGATCTTATTCTAATGTATATAGTGCCTCGGTAAAGGTGCAGTACAAAAAATTAGCGATTCGTACAACAGGCGTGTGATGAGATGAGTTGACGAGAAGGACGACAGCGGGTGAGCATCATGATGCGTGACATCAACGATGATGAGAGTGACGATGAGCGGTTGACGACGATGAGCGAGTGCGATGATGATTGTTGTTGATGGGGAAGGGAGGGGGAAGTGGAGCTGAGGGAAGCGAGGCAAAATCAGCGAGTGTTTTAATGGGAAAATGACTAGTAGACGGTGAGTGTTTGACGTGTCGGGGCAGCTTGTTCCAGTGCAAGGGGGCTATCATCGTGATTGGGCACAAGGAGGAAGGGGGGGATGGACAAGGAGAGACATCTGGGGCTGTGGACGGAGAGGGCGAGACTTAGCGTAGAACGAGACAAGGGAAGAGAGATGATTCGTTGGTGCGAGGCCGCGGAGACATTTGTAACTCGGGCGAGGAATTTGGAAAAGGCAACGATATTAGACGGGAAGCCGCTGTAGCTGCACGAGGAGAGGCGATGTGTGGGAGTGCTCGGGGAGATTGACGATGATCCGACCACCTTTTGCTCGAGAATGGCCAGCGGAACGTGATATATTACAGAACCGTCTGCTGAGATCATTTCAAGTTAACGTTATATCCGCCGGTGTTAGTCGAGTTCAATTTCCGATTCTTTTCTCTGTCCACAAATGTAGTTCCAGTTCGCATTTTTTCATGCAATTCTGACTTGAGTCATAGTTCTGATAATTCTCTTCTACCATAATATAATTTTCGTTGCTTATGATACTCATTGATGAACATTTGTTTTAGTTCCTGCGCATAGCAAACAGCTTCATTCATGATTTAGGTGACCCGGCCTACCCACGCATGTTGTTAGACAATAAGGGCTCGTTTGGTATATTTGTACGGTACGTGCAATTCTTGCATACGCCGCTCACGGACTTCGCATGTGACCCAGTGCCGGTGAAACTTTGTCTCGTATTGCGGCCCGCACCATTCAACGACACCCTCACGTTCTGTCCTCCTTGTTCACCGAGGTTTGGGCGCTCGGCGACAGCGCTATTGAAGCTCAGCGTGAAGTCGCGTGTCGTGCTCAGTCCAGCTGCCGTTCATGAATTCGGTAGCCTCTTCACTCCTCGCTGTGGTGAACATTCCAGAACGATGACGTCCGCAATCCCATTGTGATATCGAGATATTCCTCGAACATATTATTTTAGTAATTCTCGGAACTGGAACTTAGCCAAATTAATTGAAGAGTCAAGTTTATTTACGGTGGGGTTTTTGTGTGTGTGTGTAACGAGTGGATGACCAGGCCCAGACCAGCAGCTCGTAATACCTCAGAATCCGGTCTAATCGCGTGTGCCTACCCTGGATTTAATCCCAGAATCTCAGGGGTGCCGATTCAGTTCCCTGACCCCTGACCATATACATCGTCGTCAGTGGCAGATGTGATCTGAACCCGTCCTGGCTTCACGGTCTGCGTGGGTGCCACGGTTGATATGAATAGGCGCTCGCCAGCAACACTTTGTCATCTGAACTCTGTGAGGCTAAACGGACGTCTGCGTCTTTCGCGGGAAAGCGCTCATTAAAGAGCAAACAGGCCTCCGATTTGACAACTTTCCCATCCCAAATGGACCGTAGGGACTCGCAAAAAATTCCTGCGTTTTCTATTCCGCAGACAACGCAGCCCGGCATCCGTGTAAGCACGCGATCCGATTGCAAGCATTGGCTTACCGACGATGGACGTCTGATGTTTGTATTGCTTTCTCTGCTCCTCCCCAGGGCCCTATCGGACTGGATGGAAAGCCAGTGAGTTTAAAACCACTAATTCGCACTGATACGCTAAAGTGTCTTCATCATGCTTTTGTGTGTGCGCGCGCGTGCGTGTGGGTGCACCATGGGTTTTGATTTCTGTTAATATTTCACTTCCTCACACAGCCGTGCTACTTCAGGTCAGGCCATTTCTAAGCAGCCTGTTTAATTTGAATATTTCCATTTGATTATTCGGTGCTGATTCGTGATTTGTGTCTGTGTGTTTTTTCAGGGGGAGCCTGGTCCAAAGGGAGACATGGTAAATGTATTGTGTTTCAGCCCGAGTGGAACGGCACGACCATTCCCTTGCACTTTGTTTGGTCTCCATCCGCAATGCGCTCTCTCTCTCGCTCGCTCGCTCATTCTCTCCACGCCCGTTTGAAGTGCTCGCCCATGCAACACTGTGCAGTGCCATCCACAAAGCAAACAAAGCGAATTTGGCGGCTAATTTGAAACGCAATTTCGAGGACGGCAATCAAAAGGCGGGGGTTCATTTATGCACGTGCACAGTGCGGACGTTTGGCGTCGATGCGGCGATAAACATACATGAGAATACGTCGCAAGGAGAGTGGCTGGACCTTCGAAGCCGACCAACAACACAGCCCACCAATATCGTGACCGCGACGTGGGTGAAGTCTGGAGGTTCCGGGACCTCTGGCGCGGGCGCGTAAGTGTGATAGATGGGCCACGGTATCTTGCCTCGAGAATCTCGGAGAACTCGTTCAATGTTGACACGCACCTTTTGCTCCAGAATTTCTATCGATAAGAAGCGATGCCGCAGATGGCCGGGTGTCTCCGGAGGGGATAACGCTCATGGCTTGCGTCTGAGCGCTGTGAGCGGCACTGGTGCGAGATCGTGGCGTCAGCCCCATGTCACCGTTGACTACGTAAACACACGGTCGTGTAAGTGTGTGGCTTTTCGTTTAGTTTGACGAAGCCCAGCTCTGTGGGCTGCATTTACATAGTAGATGGGAGATCCAAGGAGATACATTTCACACAAAGACAAAAGTCCCCCCCCCCACCGTATAGCCTTAACAAACTGTTGGGGCAAGTGCTGTTAGCGACTAGCACCCATGAAGGCCGGCACGGCACACATTTAACACACACTCACCATGGTTGTGGTGAGCGTGTTCTTTTCCCCCAAAGCAAAGTACATGGTGTCTATAATGGTGTCCTACATTACTAAGTACGTATCATCATTAGATATCACTTTGATCTCGGCTGCTAAAAGCATACGCACTCACACGTGCTTAGCGGTAGGTTAGGACTGTTCGATGTATTCATTTATCATCGGATAACTTCTCGTCCCTCAAAATCTCCACGAGACCGCCAGGGATGTTGGCGACCCGCGTCGCATCGATGCCTCAGGGAGACCCCGGGAGTTTGGCAGCATCTCGGCTGTGATTGCTTCCAACGATTCTGTTCTCACGCTTCTGTTGAAGATCGCTCAAGCGTTTGTGTCCTTTGGTCGCATCTTTTCCACTTAATTCCCAGCGTTCGACCACGCACTTTAATCTGCGGTCTCATAATACATCTTGAGTAATAGATAACGCGATTTGATAATATGTTGTTGTTTTTTGTGGATTCGAGACATAATAGACGTAAACATAGTTGGAGAAAGTATTTATCCTCTCAGATTTGCTGATGACAGCCCTAATGAGCAACGTAACGATACGTTATAAAAACTTAATTTGAAAAAAAAATGCCGCAGAGAGACCTGAAGATATCAATGTGAGCAAAACCAAAGTCAAGTGTAATTTACTGAAAAAATATAATTTGTTGAAAGGGACTCACTGGGAAGCACAGCAGAGCATGTATGTCTGGGACAATTACTATGAACTGGACCATGATCAAAATGATTAAATAAAGGTGGAATCACGAGTGGGTTGAATTACCTTTTGGAAAATGTTAATTTGATCATGAAAAGAAACATTCCAGCGTTTGGCCGAGGAAGAAAGTTTTTAAATCGGTGTATATTGCCTGCTATGACACCACGGATCAGGCGTGGACAACTGACAAAACAATGTTAATGCAGGCATGAAGAGCATGATTAATGTTCAAAGTGTTAAAGCATAACATTGAAGTTACCACACACCATTGAGTTTCATTACAACTGATCGCTATCGGGACCAGTGCATGTTTATTTTACTTGTAATTGACTGATCAGCTCAAGATGTGTTTCATGTTGGATAATAATAGAATTGTGTGTTTAAAAATACATTACCCAGCCGACGAAACATTGTCTTTGTGGGTAATTGCCAACGAAAATAATTGTGATAGACGTTATACAACAAAAAATTGCATCCCAGTGTCAGTCCTCTGCTGGATTCAAATATCCCCACGCCGTGCCGTCACAGGGGTTGTTTAGACCATACTTCACCACACTGGGCAGTATGGTTTCGTGAAGTTGGGGGTGGGAAGTGAGAGAGAGCCAAGGAATGGTTCAGACATCACTCACCACCGAGGTTTATTTGTGGCAAGGAATTGAACGCAGTTCTCCTGGTTCATAGCGCAGCGCGATAAACACAGCGCCACTGATCCCCGCTGACCGATATGCGATATCATAATTTACTCGTAAAGCTTTAGTCTCAAAGTTCCTTTGCAGGAGAATCCTGCATTAGGATGTTTGGCCAATATATTCGTGGGTAGCTTTGCTTGCGAGAGGAAACCAGACGAACCATATAGACCCAGTGCCGCGTGGGGATAATTGCTCAGACTCCACGCATACTTTATAGCACAGAGAAGAAATGACAGCATTGAAGTTTCAAGCAAAGCTACTGAGAAAATTAAAAAAACACACACTTTTATATTGAATAAGTAGTTGTAAATCTGCACGCGATATTATTTTAGCGAGTGTATACATAGCAACTGTCCCAGGGGAGCGGAAACATTGAGCAGTAGCGGAGTTGTCCTGTGGTTGTGGATGCAGAGAGGCATGAAAATGACCATATTCACATTCTCTCGCAAATATTAATTCAACCACCCCCCCCCCCCCCACGAGGTGTGTGGGCAGTGTGCGCACCGCGATGTGAGCAAGGCCTGCGCGATCTTTGCACGTGCACGTGTGTTGTGTGGGAGTCAAGGTGAGAGCGCGCGTGTGTGTGCGTGCGTGTGTATTGTGGGGAGCGGTGGTGTAGCGGTTAGCACGCTGCACTACGAACCTGGCGACACGGGTTCGATTCCCGTTCACGGCAAACACCAGTGGCGATTATCTAAACCGGTCCTGGGCCTCCCCTAGGTCAACTCAGCCTCAAATTAGTACCTGGTGCTATGTGTAAACATCGCCGCTAGGGAGACGAAGGCGGCCGGGTGTGGTGTTGGCCACCCACCGCCTTTATAGGTGCTCGCTAACAGCACTTGCCCCTACAGTCTGTTAAGGCTATATGGGGGATCTTTGTATGTGTCTTTGTGTATTCATTGCGGGCCTTCATAGGTGCTCGCTAACAGCGCTTGTCCCTTTCACTCTGTTAAGGCCATCCGGGGTGATTGTGGTCTCTTTGTACGATTGGGGAGCGGTAGTGCAGCGGCTAGAGCGCTGCGCTTCGGACCCGATGACCCGAATTCAATTCCCGCTCACGGCCAACACCAGCGACGATTATCTGAACCCGCCTTAAATAAGTACGTCATGCGGTGTGTAAACATCAACATTGCTGAGACTTAAGACGGCGTATAGTGTTGGACAACCCACACCTTCGTGTGCCAGTGCCAGCCTTCATAGGTGCTCGCTAGCAGCACTTGCCCCAAAAAGGCCGTTATGGCTATAAGGGTGATCTTTGTCTTTGTAATAGTGTAAGGGAGCTCGGCCAAAAAGTTACTATTTTTTCTCCAAGAGCAGGGAGCAGTCACACAGCTTGTAAAGCAATGTTGTTGTTGTTGTGGCAACGCTTCACAAACACAAACTTGTGGGAAAATCAGTTGCTTACCTTTTGTTTTGATGCTGTCATGGTATAACGGTGGGCCCTGTGGACTTGCGAACCAGAGGTCGCCGGTTTGATCTCTCGGTGGGGTCGTTGAAAGTTTCTTAAATCAACCACTGCACCCCCCGGCCCTTGATAAATGAGTGCACTTCAGTTAATCAATCGGCAGGTTACGTACGGTGAGTCCTACCTCTTCCATAGACGTCTGGGCCAGAGTGGAAGAGTGTATGAACTCAGCCTCCAGATGGGCTCTCTAAATAAAAGGCAGAATAGAGCGTGGATGTGAGCTTGCAAATTGCAGAGCTGCACTTCATACCTGTGTTTTATCTGGTGAGAATCCGTTGAGGAGGCAAATACCATGATAGAGAGACACATGCGATGGTTGGGTGAGTGATTTTGGCTGATTCCCGTTGTCAGAACACTTGAGCTTGCACTGCTGAGATTCTGGGCCTAAATCCAGGTTTCAGCCACCCGCTCTTAAGTGCAGTGAGTCTGTTCACCGATGACTGAAAATATTTTGCCACAATGAACACTTTAAAGCTGTGGTTATTTATATTATTACTATTAAGCTCATCTGCACTCAAATCTTTTTTTAAAATAAAACTTCCTGCCAACCTTTCGCGACGCGTAATCCCAACTTTAATACTTCTCAGGTATCATTTTTGCTGTGAGCAAATGCTTAAATTGCTTACATTGTATTCTTGCATATGGCAATATGTCCAGGGGCTAAATGCCTACGTCGATGTCTGCTAGCCGCTAGAGGCCTTCGGGAGAGAGATCCTGCACTTTTGCTATCCCTTGGTTGAGGGAGCGCAGTTCCGCAACGGGTTTCGCGTGGGCCACAGTTTCGCGTGGGCCACAGCTTCGCGTGGGCCACAGTTTCGCGTGGGCCACAGTTTCGCGTGGGCCACAGCTTCGCGTGGGCCACAGTTTCGCGTGGGCCACAGTTTCGTGTGGGCCACAGTTTCGCGTGGGCCACAGTTTCGCGTGGGCCACAGTTTCGCGTGGGCCACAGTTTCGCGTGGGCCACAGTTTCGCGTGGGCCACAGTTTCGCGTGGGCCACAGCTTCGCGTGGGCCACAGTTTCGCGTGGGCCACAGTTTCGTGTGGGCCACAGCTTCGCGTGGGCCACAGCTTCGCGTGGGCCACAGTTTCGCGTGGGCCACAGTTTCGCGTGGGCCACAGTTTCGCGTGGGCCACAGTTTCGCGTGGGCCACAGTTTCGCGTGGGCCACAGTTTCGCGTGGGCCACAGTTTCGCGTGGGCCACAGCTTCGCGTGGGCCACAGCTTCGCGTGGGCCACAGTTTCGCGTGGGCCACAGTTTCGCGTGGGCCACAGCTTC